GCGGGTCCCGGGACCTGGCAGAGCCGTGCCCGCGTCACCACCGCCGGCCCGGGCTCGCCCTCGCGCCGGGCGGCGGAGGGTTTGCGGCAGCTCTCGGCCGGGCGGGGACGGCTGCGCGCAGAGTACCTCGTCAGGTTTACACTGTAGCCGCTCTGACGGCAAGGTGTTTTAAATGTTGTGTTGCCATCTTTCACCCAGTATAAGGAGTAATTCACTTTTCCCTTGCACCGGGTGTGACGGAGGGGGCCATTGAGAGGTGGCTTTGCCCTCCTTCCAGCGGTTGGCAAACTTGGCTGCACATTAGAATCACCTGAGCAGCTTTTAAGACGCCTGACGTCCAAGCCTCGTCCCAAATCTGTTAAATCAGCGTTTCTGGGGTTGAGAGCAGGCGCCAGTCATTTCTTAAAGCTCCCTGAGGATCTCAGGGTGCAGACCAGTTTGAGAGCCAGTGCTCCAGGATGGTGGGTAAGACACGAGGAGAGAGGCCTGGGTGGCTTTCCCAGGAGCAGAGGTGAGAGCTGACCCTGGGCTGGGCCAGTGCTGGTGGCCTGGTTCTGACAAGTCAGCCAGGAGTTGCAGTGTTGTATCGGATCATTTTTCAGCTTTAGGTCTCCAAATCTGTGAAAAGTAAACTGGGCCCAGTGACTTTCTGAACTCCTTCGTGGGCCAGGTGGGAGTGAAGCCTGAATTAGCCTGAGTGCATGGCTTTGATGGAAATACTGTTCCCTCTGACTTAGCAGGGTCTGGGACCCAGGGCCCTGCTCTCCTTTGTCCCATGTCACAGAGTGATTCCCTGGAAGCTGTGGGATGTTCCTCTGTGGCTGTCACAGCTGCTCCAAGTTATAGAGGGCAGTTGGCATGCCTGTCCCTAGTCTGGCCAGGTCATCTCTAAGCAGCAGGCCTTCACTTTGCCCAGCCTGAGGGCCTCTTCAGCAGCAACAGGGAAAACAGAAAATGACCCCGCCTCTTGTCCCACATGGCAAGGAGAGGCCGTTATCAGCCTTGCTGTCGTCCAGTGAGCCCTGGGTACTGGTACAGTATGGGGCCAGTGCCCAGGTCACCAGTGAACTGTGACCACTCTCTCTCAGTCATAGGGCTCAGCTCTCAACCTGCACCTTAGGCTTCCAGGATGAGGGAGCTGGGAGATGGGAGGAGGCCCTGGGCCATGGGGTACCCCTCCCCCTGGGAAGCAGGGAGGGGCCTGGGAGTTCTTCTCTTCCTCTTGGAGATGTCCCCTCCTCCCTTCCTCAGTGAGTGACATTTTTTGGCAAACCTATTTTCATTTTGGACAGTATGAGTAAATAGTTGTATATGGAAAAAAGTTCCTTGTCTGCCCTCTTGCTTGGGCTCTCTGGTGTCTCCCTTGGCGTGGCCCTGCCGGAAGCAGTGGCAGCACACGTACCTGAACTCAGCTTTTTGTTACCTGCAGCTCCTAGGGCTGCTCCAGTTGGCAGTGAAGCAAGATGCTGTCAAATGACCAGGCACTTCTCTGTGCCTCCATTTCATCATCTCTAAAGCAGAGATAATCATTCTTGCCCTAACCTGCTTAGAGATTTCTGGGAAGATTAGGGTCAGTCGACTTCCATGAAAATTCTTACTTTGAGACAGAAAACACTAGGCACTCTGAAGAGTTCATCACTAAGTCTAGCCTTGAAGAAAGTAGCTGTTCTAGTCAAAGAAAGTGGTTTGTGATGTTTTAGGCCAGGGTCCACAGCCTTGACTTGCCAAGGGTCGAGGTGGGTAAACAGTGACCAGCCTGACTCCTGCAGGCAGGAAAGGGGAAGGTTGAGTGGGTGGCTGCTCAAGCTATTGCTGGGACATTAATGAACTCCATAGCCTAAGAGGCAGGGCTTGGCAGAAGAATGAGAATCTGTGGCATTTGATTAGTTGTCCCTTGTTCTCAGGCCACCCTCCCCCTCACACAGCATCTCATCCTGGGCTGTCACTTTCGCCCTCTGCACACAGGCTCAAGAATGGGACATGGACGCCCGGCGGCCAATGCCTTTTCAGTTCCCGCCCTTCCCAGATAGGGCCCCCGTGTTCCCTGACCGCATGATGAGAGAGCCCCAGCTGCCCACAGCAGAGATCTCACTCTGGACCGTGGTGGCCGCCATTCAGGCGGTGGAGAGGAAGGTGGATGCCCAGGCCAGCCAGCTGCTGAATCTGGAGGGACGGACGGGGACAGCCGAGAAGAAGCTGGCCGACTGCGAGAAGACAGCCGTGGAGTTCGGGAACCACATGGAGAGCAAGTGGGCTGTGCTGGGGACCCTGCTGCAGGAGTACGGGCTGCTGCAGAGGCGGCTGGAGAACATGGAGAACCTGCTGAGAAACAGGAACTTCTGGGTCCTGCGGCTGCCCCCAGGCAGTAAGGGGGAGGTCCCCAAGGTATGTGGCAGTCCCTAGGGGCAGGGATGGAGGTGAGGACCAGCACATGTGAACAGAACTCTTGATTTCATCTTGTCGGTCCTTCTCAAACTTCTCTTGCTCCCTGTTGTCTAATTTCAGTGTCATCTTAAAGTCTGTCTCCACTTAAACAACCTAGTCTGGAATGTTCTACTTCAGTGAGCCTGGCCTCCACCATGCCCCACAGAGTCTGCATGTTTCTGTCATTGAATCGTTACTCTCACTGTTTTCAGCCCTCCCTGAGGTGGCTGAGTGTCTGCAAATTCCTGCAGCTCTTCATGCTTGGGTTTTCCACTTGGCACCTACAAATGACCATTTGTCATTGGTTAGCTTTGTATATGCTCATCTGAATGTGGTTGGAGATAGACCTAAAGCCACGCCGTCTGGAATCTCTTGAAAGTCGTGACCCGGACCCTCCAGTGGGCCGTTTTCACAGTCAGAATTCATGCTCCATTTCCTCTTCCATTTGCTCTCCCACTCTCCCCCCGGCTCATCTACACTGCACTCTCAGTTGATGACTCTTCTTTCTAGTCTACTGAGAAAATGGAGTCACTCAAAAGGGACTTCATGTGTAGCCACCATATATTCTCCCATCTGCCCACCTCATGTCCCCTGCCCTCCCTGGTACTGTGGGCTCGTCATCCACCCTTCACTTACTCCAGGATGTCACTCAGGCGTTTCTACCCTTCTCCTCTGCGTCATCAACTTTTCCCTCTCTACTGGTCACTTCCCACCAGCATGTAACATTGCCTGTCTCTATAAGAGTAAACCTCCATAGACCCTGCATCTCCCTCTAGTTAGGGCCACATTTCTCTGCTCCTCTTTAGAGCAGAATTCCTTAAATGAGTAGTCTATGTTTGCCCTCTCCAGTTCTTTCTTCCCCATTTTCTCTCCCACCCTTTTTAAACCTTTTTATTGTAGAAAATTCAAACATATGCAAAAGTAGATAGAATAGTGTAATGAATCCTCATGAACCCATCATCCAGCTTTACTAGTTATCAACTCTTGACCAATCTTGTTTCATCTAAATTCCTACCCATGTTCCCCTTCCATTTTATTTTGAAGCAAATGTCAGATAGCAATCATTTTATTTGTAAGTATTTCAGTATGTAGCAAAAAGTTAAAAACTTTTTAAAAAATAATAATCTCAATATTATTGCCACCACAACAAAAACCTCAACCTACTCAAATATCTAGATGGTGTTCAAATTTTCAATTCTTCCAAAAATATTGTATTTTTTTCCTATTAGTTTGTTCAAATGACAGCTTAAACAAAGTCTATAAATTGTGATTTCTATGTCTCTTAAGTCTTTTTTAAATCTATAGATTTCTCCTCCATCTCTTTCATTTCTCCTTGCAATTTATCTGTGGAAGAAGCTAGGTCATCCATCCTGTTGAGTTTCTCACTGTCTGGATTCCACTGACTGCATCCTCCATGGTCTCATTTGATGTGTTCCTCTGTTCTCGGTATTTCAGTAAATTGGTCATTGGATCATTCTCTTTGGCATCCACACCAATCAGGCTTTTGCTACCACCTCTCCATCCCCTTGTTCTTTTCAAAGCCCTAATGACATCTGTGGTGTTAAAGCCAGTGGTCGGTTCTCAGTCTTCATGCTCCCTGGCCGTCAGCAGCACTTCATGCAGGTGACCAGTCCCACCTTGAAACACCTTCTCATGTGGCTCTAGGGCACCTCTCTTGATTCTTTTCCTACCTCACTAGCTGCTGCTTCTCAGTCTTCTTCGCTGGTTCCACCTCCTTTTCCCGACTTCTTATGTTTAGAGTGGTCCGGGGCTTGGCCTTGACGTTTTGCTTGTTGTCTACACTCCCCCGCTCGTGATTTCATCCAGTCTCAGGGTTTTAAGTGCAGCCTGTGTGCCACCAACTCCCAAATGCAGTCTTGTCTTCTCCTTCTCTCTCTGTATCTTGCTCGGACTTCCTTCTTGAATGCCAGATTCACATTCCTACCTGCTAATTCTGCATCTCCGTCAAAACATCGGTAAATATCTTAACGTTAAACACGACCAAACTGAACTCCCCATCTTCCGCCTGAAACCTGTTCTACACAAAGTCATTCTCATCTCCGTTGAAGACAACGCCTTCCTTCCAATTGCTCAAGCCAGAAGCCTTGGAATCATACTTGCCTCCTCTGTTTCTCACACCCTACTTCCAAAAAATATGCTTCTAATAAACAGTCTGATTTTTCTTCAAAATATATCCAGTCAGACTACTCCTCCCCACCTCCACTAAGCCCACTATTGTCTGGTTGGAGACACCATCACGTCTCATCTGATTATTGCCATGGCCTTCTGCCTGGTCTCCTTGTCTCTGTCCTTGTCCGCCACCCCATACAATCTGTTCTCAGCAGAGCAGCCAGAGTGATCCTTTTAAAATATAAATCAGTCATATTACACCTCTGCTTAAAACCCCCAAGTGGCTTTCCATGGTATTCACCATAAAAGCCCCTGTTCTGTCAGTGGCCCTGTCTCTCCAGCCCCACCTTTCTGGCATCATCTTCACCCCCTCTCGCCCACTCCTCTCTGACACACTGGCCTCTTGCAGCTATACCAGCACAGCACATGGTCCCAACTCAGGGACTTTCCTCCACTGTAAAAACTCCTTCCCTGGGTACCTGCTCGGTTGTCACTTGATCAATGTGCTCTTCTGTGGCCACCCAATACAAAGGAATCATGTCCCCCCGCCCCCAGCACACTCCTCCCTGCCCTTGTTCTCATTTTCTCCAAAGCACTTGTGCCATCAGGCATCTTAAATATTTACTTCCTTTTTTGTCTTCTTGGTTGATTTTCCTCAACCAGAATGTAAATTCCGTTTGGTTCACTGCTACATCTCTGTGCCTGTGACGGTGCCTGGCTTATAGTCAGTACGCAAAAAATATTTGCCGAGTAACTCTTTCCAGCTGGAGAGCTCACACTTCCGTGTAAGGAACTGGATCTTCTATGTCTTTGTATCTGCTGAGGCAACCAACCCAGTGACTTTGCCAGAGGAGTCGTTTGACAGTGATGTATTGTGGCTTCACAGAACTGAGTTGTAATAGTGGCTTTGGTTCCTCCCTGAGACGTTCCCTGCCCCTGCAGCCCACGGGGCCTCATTTTCAGCATGGTGTGGCGTGTATTGCTTGTCTGGCACAATCAGATCTCCTTACACACTCTCCTTTTCTCTTGTCTGTGCTGCATGTTTTAACTCGGCGCTGTGTCCTTACTTGACATTGTTGGGTGTTGTGTGTGTTGGATCAGGCGTTAGGAGTCTTGAGTTGACATGTGCCCTCACGGAATGACAGAATGGTTATGGGGTCCGGAATCAGAGCACTAGGGTTTGAATCTTGGTTTTGCCATGCACTGGTTTTCTTACCTCTGGTCAGGTATGTTTTTTGTTGTCTCTGAGCCTCCTCTATTCCTCCTTTGAAAAAAGTAAAGTATGAAGAAATAATTCCCAGATGGTCCCTCTGAATTTCAGTGTTCTCATCTGTAAAATCAAGATGATAATGTGCTTGCTTGATGGAGTTGCGAGCATTAATTGATTTTGTTGGTGGGACAGGACTGTCCCATTGTATTATTTGTATTATTGTATTATTTATCTCTTGCTGTTTAACAAATTACCCCAAAACTTAGCAGCCTAAACAAATAATTATTTATCATTTTACAGTTTCTGTGTGTCAGGAATTTGGGAGCAGCTTAGCTGGGTGATTTGGCTCAGAGTCTCATGAAGTTATAGTCAAGCTATTGACTGGGACTACGGTCATCTGAAGGCTTGACTGGGGCTGGAGGATCCACTTCCAGTACGGCTCAGTCACTTGGCTGTGGGCAGGAAGCTTTAGTTCCTCACAGTGTGGACCTCTCCACAGAGCAGCTGGAGCATCCTCATGACACGGCAGCTGGCTTCCCCCAGAGTGAGTGATCCTCCAGGATAGAGGCTGCAGTGTCTTTTTTTTTTTGATGAGGAAGATCAGCCCTGAGCTAACATCCATGCCAATCCTCCTCTTTTTGTTGAGGAAGACTGGCCCTGGGCTAACATCTATGCCTGTCTTCCTCCACTTTATATGGGACGCTGCCACAGCATGGGCTACCAAATGGTGCATCGGTGTGCACCTGGGATCTGAAGCCGGGCCGCCAGCAGCGGAGAGTGTGCTCTTAACCACTACGCCAAGGGGCTGCCCCTGCAGTGTCTTTTATGACCTAGTCTCAGAAGTTGTCACCACCACTTCTTTATTTATTTGTTAGAAGTAAGTCACTAAATTCTGCCCACACTCAAGGGGAGGAGAATTAGTCCCTGCTTTTTGAAGGGACTGTCAAAGAATTTGTGGAAATAAACCATAAAGAATCTTAGTGAATATTGCTAGCAATAGTTATAATTCATTGTGTGGCCGTGCTAGGTGCATTCTCCTTGTCAGATTCAAGGAAAGCTGATGTCACTGAGATCCTTTGTGCCTTTTGGATCCTGTTGTGTTTGTTAACTGGTTCATAGATAATTCATGGATAGTCTTTTCTATCCAGCTAAACTGTAGGCTCCCTGCAGTCTCGGACCATGTGTCATACTTCTCCTGTATCCTGGCCCGGGGAGGTTTTTACAAAGTGATGGCTATTTCCAACTATAAGAATATGATTCCACAGTTTCGACCCTCCACAGAAATGGTGAAATGAGGCAGAGCAGTTGGTATGCTAGAAAAGATAATGAACTTGGTTTGGGGTACATTTAGTTTGAGGTGGTTAAAAAATGATTAAATGGAGCCACTCAGAAGGCTGTTGAAATGTGAACTTTGAAGGGAGCAAGGAAAGTTGAAGAGTGTCGTCTGCAAAGAGGTAACTGTTGAAGTTGTGAAAAGAATGAATTGCCAAGGGAACAGTGAAGAAACAGGGAAGGACAAGAGCGGAGCCTTGGTCTTGGGGGAGGAAGAGGAGGCAGTAAAGAATTTTGTGATTTTTATCTAGCAGCAGGGAATGAAGAGAGTGGTTTCAGTTTTCCCAGGTTGGGGAATGGCCAAGTCTGGTGGAAGGTCCAGGGAATTAGAAGTTCTAGTTCTGTTTCTAAAGATGGCTGGTGAGCTACCAGTCAGTAGGTGGCATACAGGTGTACACAGGACGCCCTTAAGGTTATGGGCACCTGATGCGCAAGGGCTGATGTTTCTAATTCATGTAAAGGTGCTGCCCACTTATCCACCTGTGCACCAGTGGGCCTGACACCCAGAGGCCTTTTTCTAATTCGCACAAGGTGCCACATAGGCGAGCAAGCTTTAGTCTTGTACATGGGGGTATGAAGACTGATGGACTAGGATTAGGGCTTGGGGGAGAATTGAGGGATTGGATTTCAGAGTGAGAGTGAAGGCCTGGTCTATTAGGGATGTGAAAGTGGTGGGAGGTAAGGCTCTGTGGTCGGAGAAGGGAAGTTCAGTTATTAAAGTCACGGAAGTGAAACCATTTTGAATGACTTGGTCCAAGGTGAGGCCATTCTGGTGAGTGACTGAAATGAATACAGACAAGGATCTTTGTCAAACTGAAGTAACAGCTTTATGTACCAGATGAGACTACCTGGAATAACAAGCTACTGACGTTACACGATGGATGACTCAGGCTGCAGTGAAACTTCATAGTATTGGCACCACTATTCAACACATCCAACAAATATTGATTGGCTCCAAACTGTGTGCTTCTGGATGCTTGGGCTGTAGCAGTGAATGAAACAGATCCAGATCCTGGAGCTTTAGCACATGCCTTTAGATTTTACATGTTTTAGTGACAAAAATGTAACTGTGTACCTAGAGGTGACCTGACCAGAAATGCAGGTTTTATAACAGGGTTTTATGTACTTGGCTGGTACCCACTCTGAGATCCTACCACACCCCTGTCCCCCTGAGTACCATAAGCTGCACATTGACTTCAGCCTTACCCTCAGGTCCCCAGTTTACCTAAAAGTGAAATTACAAAGGATATGGTAAAATGTTTAAAAAGAAAAGGCAGTGTTGACCATCATTGTTTTGGAAGCACAAGAAGATCAGGAACAGGGTGGACTGACTCCATTGAAATGGACTGGGCTGGGATTTGGAGGATGGGGAGCCATGGAGAGCAAAGGCCAGGCTCTAGGGTGGAATGGGCCCTGTAGCCTGTGAAGGGAGGTGATGGGAGAAGCAAGCAGGAGGGGCCAGACTAAAACTCTTGTTGGCCCAGGTGCCGGTGACTTTTGTCGACATTGCTGTTTACTTCTCTGAGGACGAGTGGAAGAACTTGGACGAATGGCAGAAGGAGCTTTACAACAACCTTGTTAAGGAGAACTACAAAACCCTGATGTCCCTGGGTAAGAACACCTTCCCTCCTCTGTGGAGAGCTATCTCTGGAGAGCGGAGTGACGTGCTTATCAACCAGTGTTCCCCTGGGCAAGGCGTTTCATGTTTATACATAATGGAAACTCAAGAAACTATTTGCCTATACTGCTAGGAACGTAGAATGATTTGTAATAGGATGAAAATTAAAAATCCAATTATAGAGCCTACCACTATAGAATTGAATGCTATGCTACTACTTATTTTGAAATACAGTCAAAATAGCATCACTTGCCCCTCACTACACACTACATCCCAACGGCCTTGGATAAGCCACAGTTGGTGTGCTGTTGGCTTTCAGAGACCAGCTATTTCTACCCTAGAAAGTGGAGAATCTGATGACTTGTTTTCAGGGTTCCTCATATGAGATTACCTGACACACTCACATAACTGCTACCACCTAGAGGGGCACTCCGGTGAGCAGGGAGAGTTGGGAGAGGGGAGAGTTCTGCCATCGTCCTTGATCAGGACTCGTTGGTCAACTTCACTCAGTCCTTCCTTCCCTTCCAACTCATTCCAGACTCAGAGAGTCCAGTGCCCAAGCCAGATGCTCCATCCCAGGTTGAGCCCAGGGAAGAGCCTTGCGTATGGGAGCAACGTGATCCAGAAGAGAGAGAAATCCTAATGGATCCGGACACAGGTGATGGCAGCTGAAAAGGGCCCCGGGTGCAGGGCAGGGCAGGGCAGGATAGAAGCCCTGCCGGCCCTGCATAGTTCGGGAGGGGCCTCTCTTGAGTCACTTGTGGTTCTGCTACCATTGAAATTTAGCAGTCACTTCCAGGAAGAGACTTCAGGGCCCAAAAGCACACCATGGATGTTTGTCTTTTGGGTTAGAGCCACGCAGCTGTGGACGCCCAGTTGAGCTGGGTGGAGAGAAGAGGAAGGCCAGCCTTGCAGCCTCCCAGGTCTGACAGTAGCCTGCAGTGAGAGGCCCGAGGCCTGGGAGCAGCCCGGGCCCAGCCCCAGGCAGGGGGACGGAGAGGGTGGGAGGGAGTCTGCACAGATGCAGAGTTTGCCACGGCCCATTGCTTCTTGGTTATCTCTTGTCTCCATATCATCACCCCATTCTCACACAGACCCCCACATCACAGGTGGGCTTACCCTTCAAGGCTTTCTCCTTACTCAAGAAGGAATCATTCGTCTTGAGGAAATCCAGTTCCTGAGAGCATTACACCTGCTCAGCATTTACGCTTGGGATAGAAGGTGCTAGGGTTCTACTCCCACTTCTGCCCTGGGGCTCTTTTCTCGGGGCCTCCGTTCTCCTGTACAGAGTTGGACCAGGTGAAATCTGGTCCTCTGACTATTCTCTGCCTTATCATATGAACTTTCACCTGTCTGTGCCCTCTGTCCCCCTTCTTTCTAAGAGGAGAGCATTTTCACTGAAACATCCCTTAGACGTCAGCTGTGGGGCAGTCCCCTTCCTTCCAGTCTGTTCTTTTTGTTGAGATATAATTCATGTACCATAAATTCACTTTTTTAAAGTGTATAATTCAGTGGTTCACAGAATTGTCCAACCATCATCACTATCTAATTCCAGAACCTCCTAATAGGAGACCCTGTACCCGTTAGCAGTCCCTCTCATTTCCCTTCCTCCCCAGCCCCTGGCAACCACTCATTGACTCTGTGTCTGTGGATTTGCCTGTTCTGGACAGTTCGTCTAAATGGCTCCTTCTCTGTCCTGAAGCACACTGCAAATGTTTGAGGTCAGCGGCCGTGGCAACCTCCCACACTTAAAGTGCTGGAACCTCAATGGTTTCCCTGAGTTATTATCCATCACTGTGTGCGAGATGGAACAGACACCACTCTGCCCATTTTATGGATGGAACGAGCATACTAAGAGCCAGAGTGGTCAAGTGACTCCTCCACTGGGCTGGGGGTAGAGTTGAAACCAGGATCCATGTCTTCCGCTTCCTCATCTAATCTCTTTCCTGCTGCCTGAGCTGTCTCCTGCCAGGGCTAGTACATTGTAACATAGACCAACGTAAGAGGAAAATGCCCTGTTTGTCATGTCTTGGGGTCTACATAGAGGATATGTCATTGTCTTTTATGGATAAGGATGCTGTGCGTTATTCATCTAAGAATGGGGCTGGGTTGCATCTCTTTGCCCAGTCTAACTTCTTGCTAATCATATATGAATGTGTGAGTGACTGCATGTGTGTGCGCATGTGTGAGCGTTTGTGTGTGTCTGGCCAAATCTTTCTGACTGGGGTGAAAAACAAGGACAAATGACTCCTTCACGGAGGTCAAACTTACGGCTTCATCCTGATTAGCACCCAACCCAACATGGAGCTGTTTCCAGAACTCTCTCCCAGCCTTATCTCACCTCATTTTGTTGCTTGGCCTACCCCTTTGTTCTGAATGTGGATCACTTCTCTGCTCCCAGGACCTTCTGCTCCTCGGGGTCCCCTGCAGTCGCCTGCAAGAACCCGAGACCTCTGTGCTCTTCCCTGGCAAGTGCTATCAGTTGTATTCCTGACCCCAAGAACGTCTGGGTGACAATCATTCAGAAAAAAGACACCAGATGATGTGGTTCTCTGTCCCCAGGAGCAGAGCCCCTGGTGCCTGCACAGGACGCGTCCTCTCAGGTGAAGCGGGAGGAAACCCTGTGTGTCCGGGGTCAGCGGGGCCTGGAGGAGAGAGCCATCCCCACGGAGTCCATCACTGGTGAGTGAGCCGAGGAGCCTCCCAAGCCCGGGAGGGAGAGGAACGGTCAGCATGGTCTGCAGGCTCCGGCGTTGTCTGTTGTGTGTGCCAGGCCGCAGGCCTGGGCTGGAAGTGGAAGAGCTGTGGACCCCAGACGGGCAGAGAGACGGGCGACCCCACAGGCATAGACATGGCACATGGCATTGACGATTTGCTGGCACATCTGGGCTTAGCTTGTTCTGTTTCGTCTTTTCTTTGTAATATCAGTTTTTGACTATTCCTTCCCCTCCTTGAAAAGCAATATCAGAGCAGAAAAAGTACTGAGTGTAAGGCGCTTTATGAGGCTCTGTGGGTGGGGGAAGATATCGGTCTGTAAGACCTGCTCCTGACCGGGAAGAGCCTTCATTGTTTTAAACAGGTATTTACGGGTTGCTGCCTCTGTGCCAGGCCCCTGCGCGGCTGCAATCCTGTGGGGTGGTCCGGATAGTGTCTCTTAGATGGTGTTCCAGCTGGACTCTATGTGAGAACTCTGTTAGAGCGGGTGTATAGTAGTCAGAGCTCTCCAGAGAACCAGTAGTGGGCGTGTGTGTGTGTTAGAGACTGATTGATTGATTGATTTTAAGGAATTGGCTTCTCCGGTTGTGGAGGCTGTTATGTCCAGAATCTGCAGGGTGGGCTGGCAGGCTGGAGACCCGGGCAGTCTGCTGGCAGAATTCCCTCTTCCTCAGGGGAGGTCAGCCTTTTTCTATTAAGTCCTTCAACTGGTGGGATGAGGCCCACCCATGATATGGAGGATAATCTGCTTTGCTCAAAGTCTACTGATTTAAATATTAATCTCATCTAAAAAAATGCCGTCACAGAAACATCTAGAATAATGTTCGGCTAAATATCGGGCTACTGTGCCTCGCCACATGGACGTGTAAAATTAACCATCACAAGATAAATTAACATCCTATAGCTCTTTGCTTATCCACAGGTTAGAGCTCCACAAACCTTACCCCTCTTAGTCAAAGCCTCACATCCACAGGTCAGTGATAACAGCGTCTGAACAGAGGAAAGCCCGTGCCATTTTTATCAGGCATGTTTCTGGAAAGCATCGTGGTGTTTCTATCTTCAAAGAGATCTTTAAGAGATAGAAGGCAATAAAGAGCCAAAGAGGTTTAATAGACCGTAGAAGAAAGAAGACGTAGGACACATCTTAGAAAAATCCTGTTAAAATGTTTAAGATACAAGGCTTTGTGGAAGGTGTCATTTTCCTGTAAAATCCCCTCATGAGGAGTGCCTCTCTCCATGGTGGTGCTCAGTACTGAGCATGAACCTCACTCTAAGGATGTCAGTTTCTGAAGCACAGAAAGACTCTCTTGAGGTCACTGTTATGTCTCTCCCCTATAGTATTCACTTATTTGCAGCAAAAGTTCCATTAATTGGGGCCAAGCTGACTTAAACCTATAATTAATTAGCATGTAATTTAATTATACTTGATTTTTAAGGAAAAGAAATAATTGTGTGAAGTGTGAGATTTACTCAAAGACTTGTTGGCATTTTCGTGTCCCCTAACGCCCATGCTGCTTTGTTCCCACGAGCAGACTCGCCAGCCTCTGCCCAGGACCTCTTGTCTCGGATTAAACAGGAGGAGCACCCGTGCGTGTGGGATCAGCAGGATCTGGCAGAGAGGGAGATTCCAACGGACCCCAATTCAGGTGAGCTCTCGAGATGCCGGAGTGAACATCAAAGACAGGCAGCCCCTCGGCCGCCTTGTGCAACTGCTGGGAAATCAAGCTGCCTGAGTCACCTTTGGTCAAAGGTCAATGAGAGCCTCAGAGAATACAATACAACATGTTCCTCAGTTAGCCACGTCTACAGATTTTGGAATATAGCCGTTAGTAAAGCGGAGAGGATGTTTCTAAAGGAATCATTAACTTGCTAATTTATTGTCAATGTAAGTGATACTAAAATTATTTCAGCACTGATTTTTGAACAATAAATATAACGAGAAAGGCTTTTAATAGTTGTGTATATTTCTGTGACAGAAAGAAAGTAATTTACATTTTCTGGAATTTTTCTTGATTGAATACTAACTAGTTAGATATCTTCCAAGAAACTTCTGGGGAGGAGCCAGGCGTGTAGGGAAGCATAAAAGAACAGTAGGGACACTCCACCCGCCTGGGGCCGTGTGTGTGTGTATGTGTGTGCGTGCGTGGGTGCACGCGCGTGTTCGAGAAAGAGTGTGTGTGTGTGTGTGAGAGAGTCTGTGTGTGTGTGTTCACATAGGCTCACAGAGCTGGAGAAGTCCAGTGTCATCTCGTTTGCTAGTTATGACCCCAAAATCTCACCCCACCCCACATACCAGGAAGAGAAGACCAGACGTAAAATCTAGCATTCCTTGTAGTGTGTCAGCTCTGCCACTTTACAGTGGAGAAATCAAGGGGTCCAGGGCAGAAGGGAAAGCCTGATAAAGCTTCCTGGTAAAGAGCCACAGTCTCCACTGTGGTTCTTATAATGACCTTGGCTCCCGCTTCTGCCACTGCTGATTTTTAAGTCCTGCTATTCATCCCTCCGTCCTGTGGGCCGTCAGAAACCAGGCTTCCCTCTGGTCTGTCCTGGACCCACAGGTTGCTCTGGGACTGATGGACAGAGTCGGAAGACCTGAGTTCTAATCCTGGCTCCGCCGCTGCACAGACTTTGGGACAAGGCTCGTCCTCCCTGGCCAACTCGAAACATAGCGAGCACCAGTGAGATCCCATTTATGAAGGCGCTTGACGGGGAGGATGGCCAGTAAATGAAACACAGACACCAAAGCCGCCACACACCCTGCGAGCCGGAGCAGCTGCCTTTGCATGTGATGGTTTTCAAACCTGTGATGGGATGCTCAGCAGAAAGGAACAGAATCTAAGATTGCCTTCTTTCCCTGAACAGAGTCTCTGATCTCAGCACACGACATTTTGTCATGGATCAAGCAGGAGGAGCAGCCGTACCCGTGGGGCCCACGTGACTCAATGGAAGGAGAGCTCGGATTAGATTCTGGCCCTGGTGAGTAACGCCCCCTGGGACTCCTGGGTGTTTTGTCCATAGGCTTGGTTGCTCACCTCAGCCTGCCCCCTGATGGAGTGCTATTCTGTCATGGGAGGCTTTCTGTGGTCTGTACCAAAGCATTGTCTCCTTTCCTTTTGGTGGATGACAGGTGTGTTCGTTTCCTCAGGCTTTCTTCAAGTTCCATGAACTAGGTGGCTTAAAACAACAGAAATGTGTTGTCTCATAGTTCTGGAGGCCAGAAGTCTGAAATCAAGGGGTCAGCAGAGCCATGCCCTCTCTGAAAGCTGTAGGGGACTCCTTCCTTGCCTCTTCCTGGCTTCTGGTGTTTGTTGGTAATCTTTAGCATTCCTTGGCTTGTAGAAGCATCACCCCGATCCTCTGTCTTCACATGGTGTTCTCTCTGTGTGTCTGTGTCTTCACCTGATCATTTTCTTATAAGGACATAAGTCATACTAGATCAGGGCCCACCCTACTCCAGTATGACCTCATTTTAACTAATGACGTCTGGAAAGAGCCTATTTCCAAATAAGTTCACATTCTGAGGTGCTGGGGGCTCGGATTTTGAGGTATCTTTTTTGGGGGATATAACTCAGCCCATAACAGCAGGGAAAGGAGAGTGGGCTGGGAGAGAGCTGAACCACTGGTGCCAGAGCAGGAGCTGAAGACAGCAGGTGGCTCACATACTGGAAAACACTGGCCAGAGGACCCAAGCCAGCCCTGAGTTGACATCTCAGAATAACTGGTGAAGATACTGACGCTCAAATAGGGAGAGGGGATTTTTTTTCCCCTGACAGGTATGGGACCAAACATCTCACTGACTTGGGTCTCTTGGGTCTTTTTTGAAGCTCCAAGTCTCCACAAGGACAGGAAGCCTAAGGTCATATGTTCACAGATTATTTAACACTCTTAGCATCAGGCTAGCGGTCCTTGCCAGACCCTGTACCATCATCTTGCCCTCAAGATGGCTGACTTAGTGTCTTCTGGTTGATCGGAGTATTGAAGGGACAGCTAAACACATGTTCCTTGTCCATACTCCTGACACCTCACAAGAGCTTAAAATCCATGTAAGAGTTGAGGATATAGGCTATTTCTGATCTGAAAGACCATTTTAAACTCAGGTAAGAGGATTCCACTCTCTGAGACAAACTTAGTTCGGTCTGGAAGAGCAGGGTGGGGCTGGAGGAATGAGTAGGGACAGGAGAAGAACAGTGTATACCCTTGTTTAAAACAGAATTTAAAGTGGTCCTCTGTCTAACCTGTTGGTGGGGTGGGATGAGGCAGGTATGCCAGGATACTGACCACGAGGACAGGAAGAAGTGACAGCAGTCAATTCCACTTCATTCTTGACAGTGCCCAGGCCACCATTTCTAGCTCTGGCCTTGAAGGCATAGGTACCAGTTCGTGAAACATTATGCCAGGAAATTCTGCCCAAACTTTTGTCTCTCAGTGCTACCTTTTGATTTTTGCAAGTCACGTGGGAGTATGTGGGCCTGGAGGAGCCTTTTCCTGGGGACCTGTGCGGTTGTGGGAATGGATCTAGGAAAGCCTGTACAGAAATTGCAAGGCTTTGCAAATTACCAGACTCTTTTACTTCTTCAGTTTGGATATGCTGAGTCATAGAACAATTTGCCTTATGATGTTTTATCTCTGGGAGGCCTTTGAACCTTAGCATTTGGGAGGAAATGGCCAGAATGTGGGAGAGGGGGGTATCTGAAAATGCTTCTCCTGCCTGCCCAGTCATTAAAGCCTCTTATCAGAGCCTCTTGTCTTTCCCCTAATGTGAGCCTGCCTTCCACTTGTTAGTGTTGGAGTGTGAAATTAGTGTCTCACCTGTGATTTCTTGGAGGTTTAAGACCCACCTAGTGTTGTGGTTGCCACGGACAACTGGATGGACTTTTGGTAAGACGTGGTGTCATGTGGCAGAGTCTTCTGGAGAGGGTTTGAAAGGGGAGAGGGTAAAACACAGAAATATGTGATACCTATCCCTGCAAGCCTCCTTCTCCGGCCCTGGGATATGCAAGAGAGAAAGACCTGGTGTTCTGTTTGACTCAAAGTCACACTTCAGCCTAACTGGACGTTACATTTTAGTAAAAGGGATTCTTCAATTTATGTGTTAATGAGTGTGTATTAGTCTCTGCCTCTGACAGTTAGTGTAAGAGGAAAAAAATCTAGTTCACCCAGAGTTAGTGTGCATGAGGCTCTGTGAAGCAGGAAAGGTGAGTAGGCCTTTGGAGTCCAGTGGCTACCAGGTGCTTCTGGAGTGAGTGGCGGTCAGGAGCCTGGAGCCGGACCACCCTACCCGTATGCCAACACCCACAGAATGTGATGGGATTGCACCCTCCCAAAATTCCCACATTATTCACTGCCTTGGGTTAAAACAGTGGTCCCAACCTTTTTTAGTTTCTATTATGTAACAAATATCTACTTAGTGCCTATTCTGTGCTATGCAGTATGACAAGCACTCGGAATAAGCAGTAAAGAAGGACCAGGGACCTTTCCTTTTGTGAGACGGTGATGGAGAGTAAACAAGCCAACAAGCAAACAGGATGAAGTCAGGGGCTGCTAAATGATCTGAGGAGGATGACTCAGGGAAAACAGGAGGATGGGAGGAGGGGAAGCAGGGCTACGGCAGGAGAGACTTCGCTGGGGAAGAAATACCAGAGCATGTTCAGATAATGAGAAGAAGCTGACCATGGGACCGCTGGAGAAGAGAAGACCAGAGAGGGAAGAGTGGAGGCGAAGGCCACGAGGCTTCAGGGGATGAAGTTGGAGCCATAGGCCGGAAGGAACCTGACTACCTGTGACCTATAGGCCCAGTTAGAGTTTGGATTTTATTCTAATATGAAAGGAGCCTAACAGAGCTTTTTAAACATGGTAGTGACAGGATCTGGCTTACATTTTACAAAGAGAAGTTCAGGAAGGGACTGGAGTGGGTTGGGGAACAAGAGCCAGAAACCATTTAGGAAGCTGGTACAGACCAGGTGGAGAGATGACGTTGGTCAGAGTTGGGATGGTAGCAATACACATGGAGATGGATTCAGGATGTACTTTGGAAGTATAACTGATGGATTGTATGTGGTGGATGAGGAGTCAAGAGTGACTTCTAGGTTTGGGTCCTGAAGAATGGGGTGAGTGGTGGTGCTGTTTGCTGCAATTGTGAGCCCTTGAAAAGAACCAGTTTAGCTATGTAAATCAAGTGTTCTTCTTTGCACCTGTTAAGTTTGAGATGACATCCAGGTAGCAATGTCAAGTAGCAGATAAACACGGGAGGCTGAAGTTCAAGAGAGAGCTTGGGACTAGACTGATTTGGGAGTTATGGGTTGCAGTGACTTCTGACACCAACTACCTGGAATTAGGTCAAACTTCACAGATAAAATGCCCCGTCCTCCACAAGACTGCTCTCACTTTAGACACCAGCTGCAAGTTCGAGGGTCCCCAGACCAACCTCCCTTCTGACAAGCTGGCACAAATTCAGGGGTTCCCATTAACCCTTCAGGTTCAATAATTCACGTGAAAAACTCACAGAACTCAGGAAAGCACTATACTTACAATTAGTTTTATTAGAGCAAAAGGATTCAAATCAGAACCAGCCAAAAGGAGAAATCCATAGGACCAGGTCTGGGAGGGTCCTAAACACAAAGCTTCTGTTGTCCACTCCCCCTGGAGTCTGGAGCGTCACCCTCCCAGCACAGTGATGTGTGACAACAAGCAGAGTATTGCCTGCTAGAGAAGTTCACCCGAGCTTCTGTGTCCAAAGGATTTATTGGGTCTTTTTAACATACGTATATGGCTGATTGAATTATTGGCCACCATGAGGTTGAACTCATTCTCCAGCCCCTGTCCCCTCCCTGGAGATTGGGCTCAAAGCCCCAACCCTCTAATCATGTGGTTGGTCTCTCAGGCATGTTCAGCTCCCATCTGAGTCCTCTTGTTAAACTATCAAAGGGCCTACCATGAGTCACCTCATTAGTGCAAACCATCAGGGCCTACCGTGAATAACAAAGACACTCCTATTGCCCAGGAAATTCCAAGGATGTAGAGGCTACCTCCCAGGAACTGGGGACAAAGACCAGCCAAATTGTTATACATAGATTATTTGAAGGCTGGGGACTGTATGAGATCTAGGGGGAGTGTAGACAAAGAATTAAAGAGACCCCAAGTGTGAGCCTGGAGGAAACCCAGAGGAGTATAGAGTCACAGAGGCCAGGAGGAGAGAATCTCTCAAGAGAGAGGGAGGGGTTAATTATGTCAAACAGGATGAGGGGTTGAGTATGCAGGACAGGGAAGAGGCGTTTGGATCTGGCATGTTGGAAGTTGTTGGTAACCTTGACAAAAGTTGTTTCAGTAGCATGCTGGGACATGCCTGAATGTGGTAGTCTGAAAGAGAATGGAGGTGAAGAAGTGGTAAACGCAAGTGAATGTTAATTAAAGAATATTGCTGAGAGACGGAACATAGAAATGAGATGAGATGGTACCTGGAGTGGGGGGAGTCACGGGGTCAAGGGAGAATGTTCTTTTAAGTTGGGAGATACTGGACCATTGTCTGGTAGGATGCTCTCAGCTGCTCTAGAACTTTGATTCAAACTGCCTGAAAGAATAAAGACATTTGTTCTCTTACGTAACTGTAGGTTGTTCAGCTGCAGCCTCAGTTGATTCAAGGACAGAGTTATGTTATCAAGGACCTAGGTTCTTTCCAACTCACTGCTCGGCCATCCTTGGTGGAGCTGCAGCTGTTCCAAGCAATCACATGCAGACCCAGAGGAAGAGGAAAGGCCATCCTTTTTCCTGTGCTCTCTCTAAAGAGTGAGGAAACTTTCCCAGAAGGCTCCCAGCAAACTCGTCCTCATGTCTCATCGGCCAGAACATGGTCACATGCTCATATCTGAATCACTTACTGGCCAGGGAACTCCAGAGTAAAAGTCCTCCAGTGAGAGGCTGGAGAAGGTGTGACGTAATCCTCGCAGGGAGTGGGAAAGTGGGGCACCCTGAGAAGTGAGGTGGGATGCCAAGCTGTTGGGGGCCCATGTGAGACCTGTGCAATTTTCTCCAGCCGTCCTCAGCTGCTTGAGTGCAGTTGCAGTGTTGGGGTTCCCCAGGCAAGCAGAACAGAAGAGACGGGGCAGAGGCGTTAAGGGCATTGCACAGCGAGCAACCGTGATGCTGACCACAGAGCTGGTCAGGAAGGGAGAACAAAGTTAAGGGGCATGATGGGATGGTGATAAAAGTGGACCGATGCTCAGACCAAGTTTGCAGAATTATCAGAGTAGGATTGGGATTGTTTAGAGTTGGGTTTCCTGGAGTCCCTGAGATGGAGGTTGATGTGCATGTGGTTTCTTTGGGAGTCCTCTTGGGAATAAGGCCTGTGAAGGAGTGAGAGGAGCAGGCTGGGTAGAGGGAGAAGCAATGCCCACAGTGCAGCTGCGACAGAGGCCAGAGCCAGTCCCGCAGGACAGGAGGGATGGCATTCTGGATTGAGGTCAGGGAGTTACTTTGGCCTCTCCCTGGCCACTGTCCTATGGAGCTGGTTCTCTGCCAGGTCAGTTCTGTGGGGATGGAGTGGGGCCGGCTGGGCTCAGTCTGTTTAGGGATGTCATGTAAGGAGGATAGGCCTCAGTCAGCCACCCATGGGCATGGGGGCTGGGTGGAAGCGTGGCATATGTGGCCTGAGAAGTGGCCTCTAGGAGCAGACAGGTCCGACAAGAGGTGGAGGACAGAGCGCAAGTGTCACCTTCTTCACTGTTCTACAGCTGCCCCTAAACAGGGGACAGGCTCCTCCAGGGAGAAAGGACTATGAATGGGGGATTGGGGAGGTGATGGAAGGTGAAGGCACGAGAAGACTCCTAAATATAGTCAGGAAACGGAATAGTTCCTCAGTCAGAAGTCGAGTCCTGGGCCTAAGATCACTGCTGTGATGCTCAGAGCCTGGACTTTGTGCCCCACTGACCTCCAAGGTAGTGGAGAACTGTGGACTCCGTCCGGAGACTCGGGGGTGCAATGAAACAGCATCATTGCAGGAGCGAGAACATTGCTTCCTGGGGAGGCTGGATGGGCAGTCACTTCCACACAGGGGTGCAGAGAGCCCCAGTCTCGTGAGGTCAGGGTCCAGATGGGGTCAGGCGCCAGGGTGGGACTCACACCAACCCAGCTGACGGTGCTGCTGTACAGTCTGAAGGCCACTTGTTTATGGGAACCCGAGTGCAAGTGGAAGGGTGGTTATGGTCCCAGCTCCCTGCATTCCATTCCTCTAGGCCTCCAGACAGGTTTTTTCCTTGGATAAGTTCTGGCAAATTCTTTCCCTCCAGTCAAGAGATTCTCCTTAGATAAATTAGCCTTAAACATCAGAAAACAGTTAAGTCTTATTTCCAGGGAATTCTGCCTTCCGCATAGCACCGGCCCCCCGGCCCCCAGCATTCTGGAGGGGTTGCCTATCCTAACTGCGTGCTCTCCAGCCGGGGGCTTTGGGCAGGTCAGAGGGTCAGGGAGCCCCAGAGCCACACAGGACATGACCGCCTGCCTTGTCCAATCCCCTCATTTTTTAGAGAAACTGAGGCCCAGATAGCCTGTGACTCGCACGAAGCCACAGAGGAAATTAACTAACTTCCTCTGAAATTAACTGTCAGCATGTCACTTCTTCGTGTCTCCTCCTCCCCAGGTGAGAGCCTGCTGATGGTGAAGAACCCGCCCCCGGCCCCGCCGCAGCCCCAGCCTGCTCCGCAGAGCCTGCCCCCGCTCCCGGCGGCCGACAACCCGGGCGGTCCCCCGAGCCGC